CAAAATTAACCTTGACTTGTGAACCACTATTTGGTCTCCTGAAGAAAGGAAAGAAATTCCAATGGGATGACCGATGCCAAGTTGCTTTTGAGCAGATCAAGCAGTATCTACAGAACCCACCCGTGTTGTCACCGCCAGAGCCGGGAAAACCGTTGATTTTGTATCTGTCAGTAACGGACACGACAATGGGCTGCATGCTTACGCAGGAATCTAAGGATAAAGTGGAGAAGGCTATCTATTACCCAAGTAAGAAGATGCTGGAATATGAGACCCGCTACATTCCGCTTGAGAAGGCTTGTTTGGCCTTGGTATGGGCTACAAGGAAGTTGAGGCACTGCCTGTTAGCTCACTCCGTAATACTTGTTTCGAGATTAGATCCCATTAAATATCTCTTCGAGAAACCAGCACTTACAGGTAGGCTAGCCCGTTGGCTGCTTATTTTCTCTGAATTTGATTTGAAGTACATGACTCGCAAGTCAGTGAAAGGGAGAGCGGTAGTGGAGTTCCTAGCTGATCACCTAGTGGAGGGACATGAAACAGTAGAGTTTCTGTTCCCGGATAAGGCCATTCTGTAGGTTGAAGAAGAGATCTGGACTATGTACTTTGACGGAGCGTCTAACTAGTACGGGTATGGGATAGGGGTATTGCTGATAGCACCCGACAATTCCCACATACCCTTATCTTTCAAACTCCGATTTAAAGTATCAAACATTGAAGCAGAATACAAGGCATGTATCACTGGCTTGGAAGCCGCCCTGGAACTAGGGGCAAAAAGGTTGGACGTCATTGGGGACTCGAACTTGGTTGTGTCTCAAGCAAAAGGAGACTGGAAGGTTAAAAAGGAACAGATGAAAATCTATCAGCAAACCCTGGACATTCTAATTTCTAGGTTTGAGAAACTAACCTTCACATATCTGTTGAGAGAGAGCAACAAGTTCGAGGACGCTTTATCAACTCTATCTTTCATGATAGACATTCCATTGGGAGTCCGGATACGTCCAATCATCATTAAAAAAAGGAATGTGCCGACCTACGAGCTGATTGTTGCCATAGATGAAGTACAAGATCAGAACCCCTGGTATCATGACATCTGGAACTTCTTGAAAAATGAGGTTTATCCACCAGGGGCAAATGCCAAAGATAAGAGGGCGATACGAAGAATGGCTGCTTAGTTCATCATCTGTGGGGGTAAATTGTACAAACGGGGCCATCTGGGAATGCATAAACTGTGTGTTGAAGCTGAAGAATCGAAGGGCTTGATGGAGGCCATCCACGGAGGAGAGTGCGGAGTGCACATGAGCGGGGTGATGCTAGCTCGAAAAATTCTCAGACAAGGTTACTACTGGTCAACTATGGAAGAGGATTGTGTTGGTTTTGTTTAGCGATGCCACAAATGCCAGATCCATGCAAATCGCATTAGCATCCTGCCGTCAAAACTGTACAACATGACTTCACTGTGGCCATTTTCAGTTTGGGGGATTGATGTTATTGGGGTAGTTACTCCGAAGGGGTCGAATGGGCATAAGTACATCCTGGTGGAGATAGACTACTTTACAAAGTGGGTCGATGCCCAATCCTATGCAGAGCTGAAAGCATCGCACGTAGCCAAGTTCATCAGGAACAACATCATTTGCCGCTATGGGGTTCCGAATGAGATTATTTCGGATAATGGTTCCCACTTCAAGAAGAAAGTGATCGACTTGTTGAAAAATACAACGTGGCTTTTCATATGTCATCCACATATCGGCCACAAACCAACGGAGCTGTTAAGGTCACCAACATGAACATCAAGCACGTTCTACAGAAGATGGTGGAAACCTACAAGGACTGGCCAAATAAGTTGACATTTGCTCTTTGGGGCTACCGGACATCGATTCGAACTTCCACTGGGGCAACTCGGTATTCCCTGGTCTATGGGATGGAGGTTGTTTTTCCGATTGAAGTTGATGTTCCGTCACTGTGAGTGATGGCTGAGTGCTAGATCACGGAAGCAAATTGGTAACAGAGCAGGTTCGAGGAACTTATGCTATTCGACAAAAGAAGGCTGAAAGCACTGTACCATGTCTAAAGTTATCAACGCAGAATCGCCAGGGCTTTTAACAAGAAGGTTAAGTCCAGGAATCTAAAAGAAGGGGATTTTGTACTCAAAGACAACCGAGCTCCCATCCATGACCCTAGGGGCAAGTTCAGACCCAATTGGACTGGTCCTTACATCATCAAATTAATTTGGTTGGGTGGAGCCGTCATTCTTATGGATTTAGATGGCCTCGAGTTTTCCCAACCGATCAACATAGATAAGTTGAAGAAATACTATCCTTGAATGGCTCGCTAGGCCGAAAACCAGAAAGGGCGACCTAGGCAAAAGTTAGACCACAAAAAATTTGAAATAAGAAAAATTGAGCTCGCAAGGTTGAAAACCCAGAAAGAGCGGCCTTGGCAAAAGTTAGAGCGCAAAAGGAGAGTGTTAAAACCTGAGTGAACCTGAACCGAACTAAGTAAGGCTTGATTCTCATCTTTGGGATACGTAGGCAATTTCATTCTGAAGTCCAACCATAAACACTTCCAAATCAACTATGTCCGTGTGATTATTTTGGTCATCTTTGTCTTTTCTGCATCCAAGAGTTCGGTAGTGATCTCTAGTGCAGTGCTGTTCAGACTAGGGGCAACTTTCCAGTTGTTGGATTTGGGGTTGTTCATCTCAAGGATAGATTCCGGGCGTGTCTAGTTACGATCCATATCGAAAATGGTTTTGAAAAGTTTTAATAAAAGTTGATTTTGTTCAAATTAATCTTTTTACAACTAGGACCGTTTTTGGACCAAACAGAAAATTTTTAGTACCCACAACCTTCAATTTCATTGATTTCAATACAGAGTTCTCTGACTCTTGATACAAATTGAAGTTGTTTTTTTGTTACATTCAAAAAAAAACTTGAAAGTACAGATTAAAGCGATAAACTTGGGACATAGTTAGGTGTTCCTGCGTCCCCTCCCAGAGCTTGTGGAAGCTTCGAATGCCAAAGTAGGCCTGGTTTGTGCCTCATCTTCAAGCCAAGCTATGCATTCGCCAGAAAGGGCACAACTGAAATTGGGAGCAGGGGCCAGAAGTTCCCTTGTCCTCCATGTAGTGGAATACCAAGCTAGCTGTGAGCCTCGAATCAGAAATGAAGCTAGGTACTCTATCCCCTCTTCTGGGCAAGTCTGGTCGTGGCCAAACTGATGCTGGAACCGAAATGGGAAATAGAAGACACAGTGTGTCAAGCCGATCAACTGAATGCCAGGCTGCCGAGACATGCTATAGCTCATCTCAAGTAGATCAAACCAAGGGCAATGCCAAGCAATGTCAACAGCAGACTTGTTGCACATCCATTGGCACCACCATCCCTCATTTGGGAAATCAACTAGCTGTTGACGGAAGAAATAGCCGCGTGCTGAATATGCTGGGCAAGAGTCCACTACTTTCAACCTGTCCATCAGCCATACCTGGGGAGGGATGAAAAATAAGAGAGATTAAAGAAAAGAGAGGTGTATGTGGAGAGAAAAGTAAGAAAGGGTTTTGAGAGAAAAATAGAGCCTGAGGGTCGAGTGATGTGAGAAACACATATGTGAAGGGTGGGAAATATTTCCTGTAAGAGTAGTGGACTCCTTGCGAACCTAGTCATCTCCCGATGATGGAAAGCATCCAAACCCATCAACGTCTCGACTAATGATAAGCCAATGCAGCTCTTGCCTTCCTTCAAGCCTTGGGCAATTTCGACCAAGCAAATGCTAGAGCCACCGAAGCCAGGGGCGAGCAGAAAATGAGCTAACATACACAAGCAGAGGGCATGCTGCCAAAAACTTTGCCAGAGACGGTCACCGCAGTCACCGGCGTCAGAAAACCGATGGATCAAGCTTGGAATGTCCAGCTCCCCATTGTGAACTAAAGATAGGGCATCATGTAAAGTAAGCCCGCATATCCTTTCCAAAGCCTGGATGTGGCCAAAACGAGACTGGGGTAAGATCTCCTCGTCGCGCCGAGATTCCATCAAAGCTTGGAATTCTTCGATTGTGGGACATATCTCTTGTCCGCCAAAGCTAAAAACATGTGAGATCGGATTCCAACACCTAGCCGCGACATGAAGGAATGGAAAACACAGCGGAGTGCGGCTTAGCGGGAATAATGCATTTGTCCCGAAACCCCAAAAATTTAATTTTTCCGAGCCATCTAAAGTTGTAATCCAAGTCGAGAATTTTTTGGCAAAGAGTGGCTCTATTTGGGGCAAAAACAGAGCTGAATTGAAAAAACCACGAAGCTGGAGCTTTTGTAGAAGATAAGGCACTGAGTGGAGGACAGGTGGCAGCAATCTGGAGATTCTCAAAATTACTGGCCAACCGACCAGTTCAAGTAGCCGATCGGCCACCTTTACTGGCCGACAATGATCATAAGTGGCCGACAGCCACTTCTTGTCTCCAGCAGAGAGCCTTTCGCCTTCTTGTATGTGGAAGATGCTAAAAATCTGTGTCTTGTTCTACCCAAGATGCGTCCTCCTGTTTTGTTTAGCAGTGGTATTTGTTTTGTTTGTCGTGTTTGTTACAATTTGTTTATCAAGTTTGTTGCAATTTGTTTATTGAGTTGTTGCAATTTGCTTATCGAGTTGTTGCAATTTGCTTATCGAGTTGCATTTGTTTCGTTTATCGAGTTGTTGTTATTTTTCTTATCGAGTTGTTCTTTAAGTTGTCTTATCTTATTTGTTTTATTTTAGTTGGTTCACTACCTAACTAAGCAATTGTCAAGACAATGTACAAATATTTAATTTTCATCAATCCTGTTTTTGTGTAAAATGGGTGCGGTGCGATGCTCAGAATGTAAAATGTAACGCTTTTTAATCAAAAAGTTATTTTCATTCCAATCATGGTTTCTTTTTACAAAGAGTACAAGTTTTAAAGAAAATAAAACTGCCTAAGGCTGTACAATGTGCTAACATTACTAGCAAAAAACATCTGAATCGATGCCACCAATCTCAGGATTGAGAGGCTCTTTTCGTCTTCTTCCTCGGTTGTGCGGACTTAGAGCTATCACCGCCAGCGCCGCTATCTGAATCTGAGCTGGAGCCGGAACCAGAACTGTCTCCATTCCCATCCTCGGAACCTTCTTCAACATCGTCACCACTCTCAGAACCCGAGCCGGTGCCGGTGCCGTCGCCTCCGCCCTCGGATGACTCTGACTGAGGACTCACTGGCTCCTCGTCCTCGCTGGTCTCGTCATAGTCATCATGCATGACAGGCTCTCGACCTCTCCCTCGGCCGTGTGCTGGAATCTTTCTCCCTGCTGCTGGAGAAGGCTCTGATGGTCCTGTCTGAAAGGGTGTGACCTGAAAATGCAGTGTAAATGTATTAGCTATAGTATATGTATCAGATAAAAGTATAGTGTGCAGAGTGAATACATGCAGAATCAGATATAGTATGTGAATGCAATGTGTCAGATGTGATCTATACATGCAGTGTACCAGTGTAATTTGGGAAGTTTTCAGTTGTGATAATAGTTTCAGTATATCAGCAGAAATATGATAACCGAAATGCAAGAAAACTGAAAAATTACCTAAATGCCGTGGGAGTTCAGCATCATCTCTCTCCTCAAGATCATGCCCTCAAATGAGGCCATCACCTCAAGTAACCCCTCGACGTACTCTATGAAGGGCTGCAAATGCAAGTTGAAACCATGAGTGCATGAATAAATAAGAATTTGAGCGAAAATGAAATGAATGAAAGCTATAAAGTATACTGGTGGTGAGTCGGGTGTCCTGACATATCGGTGATCAGGCAACAGAGGCTCTAGCAGAATCTGAAAAGGCACCCCAAAGTACCGCCAACCTGTCAGCTCGGTCGAAAGATCAGGCCATCCAACACTCTGCCTAGTGGAAGGCATCTCTTTAGCCCCACCCCTCGGTACCTGGGCCCTGCTCGTTGAAGGAGCGTCTGCTGCCCGAGCCCTACTCGTCGAAGGAATATCTGCTGCTCGGGCCCTGCTCGACGAAGCAATATCACCTGTCCTCCCCGTGATAGCACGAACACCTATCAGAAGAGGCATCAGATATGTCTAGAGATAAATCATGTAGTCCCCCTCCCCGATGAACAGATCTGCATCTAAGCCTCGCATGAAGTCAGTAATCTCCTGAGGGAAGAGACTCTCCGTGGCACGTATAGAAAGAGGAGGCAGTAAGGGGACTGACTGTAGTGGCGGGCCTAGTGTCTGACGCATGAAACGTTCGCCAAGGAACCAGGCTCGACCCATGAGTCCCTCGAGTAGGAGCCAATATCGGGAAGCACCTCGAGCTTCGACAAAACAAAATCTGGTCCCCTCTGGCATCCCCGTCCAAGGCTGCCATATGATCTGCAGACAGCAAAGTACATGAACTGATGAGTTGCTATTAGATATGCAAAATGAATTGAAGCTGAAAGTAGGAAAGGCTGTGAGTTTTGAATTACTTCTACTATCCTCACTGTGTCGATGTACTGGCTCAAGTATAGGAGGGTCTCCCCGGCTCTCGGCTAACACCGATCGTCATATCTATGCGAGTACGGTACCTCGAGCGGCGTTTCGACCTCTGGCTCGGGAGCAAGTGCTAGAAAGTAGGCGATACCCACAGCTGTGAAAAGCAAGAGGGCAGCAGTGAGAATACAGAATATAGAAAATGCAGAAAGCAAAATGTGGCACAGTGTATAGAAAGTACAAGTGCAGAGCAAAGATTAGACTATGTGTGTGTGGTGGATAGTGTGCAGTGTACAAAAAGTGCAAAGAAGAAAGCATGCAAAAAAACTGTAAAACTAAAAAGTCAAACATACCTCCCAGGCTCTCTAATAGCCACCTACTCTGTCCCCACTCCTGCGGGAGGTCGAGCTCATACAGCAGTATAAAGTGGCGAGGCCGGCGCCACCCCAATCATAATGACGGACCTGGGATAGGTCCACTAAAGCACTCAGAAAATACAGCCCGACTGTGTTCGCCCTATCGGCGAACAATGTAGTGCCGAAGAGGAACATCATGAAACCTCAGGCGTACTACTCTGTAGCCTCAATCGTCACGGGCTTAGTCCCTCTGAAGTGGTCTGAGAACCAAGTGTATCTGACTGTGCCTGATCGGAAAATGTACGGGTGTGCTCCTAGCAGATAGGTCCAAGCAGGCTCTCACTCACCCATATCAGAGTCGTATAGGATCGGCTAGCCTCCTACCTCAAGGCCTGTCAGTATGGCAAAGTCATACGGGGTCATCGTCATGTCCCCGGTAGTAGAGAAATGGAAGGAGTTGGTGGTGTCCCACCATCTCTCTACCAATGCACCTAAGAGGGTCCTGCTCGCCATGAGACGCGAGAGCCCCATGCAGAATAGGCCAAATCCCGTCTCATCAATAATCTGTCGGACGCCGTCGGGGAGGTCCATATACCACTCCCTCGCTGCGGTCGACCCGTATCCGCGGGTGAAACGGGAGTCAACCTGTGTGGATGAGCAGAAATACAGTGTGTGAATATGTTCAGAATGAGCAGAAATACAGTGTGTGAATGTGCTCAGAACGAGCAGATGAAATACAGTGCAAAGGTGCGAGCTATGCAAGAAATGTAAAGTACATCGCAGAAAATGTAAGAATACAGTGCATATCTCGGGTGCGTCATAGGGCAAGTGAGACTCCGGCTCCAGTAGTAGAAGATCTGCAAGTGCGCGTTATGCAAATCCAGTAAAATGGCGGACTGTGCTAGGTGGTAATGCGTGTGCCTTAAGGCGGTTGCTCTCTGGGTCGAAAGGCCGGACTTTGGGTGGTAATGGAATGTACTTGGCCTCCTCCTACATCCTCGGAGAACCCCTGCCGTGTGGCGCGTCGTCTGCCATCTAGAAAGAAAGTGAAAAGTAGGCAAAAATGAGCGAAATGGGCAAAAAGTGCCAAAAGTCAACAAAAGTCAACTCTCAAAAAGAGAAAAAGTCAAAGAAAGTCAAAGCTCGGGAAAGGGCGCCAAACTCAAGATAAACTTGAGGGAAACAAACCTCAAATGGTGTAAGTGGAGAAAAAGGCTCCGAAACAAGTTTTGATTGGTTCAAAACAAAGGAAACCGAAAGTTTTTAGCGAATCAACTTCGCGAGGGGCGTTGGAAAACGTGTGCAAAGTACAGATCTAAGAGGAAAAACTGTTTGGGAAGCAAGGAAAGGTGATTTCGGCACTGTGTGTGTCAGGAAAAGTGTTTTGGGGTTTTGTTTTTAAAGTTCTCCATATAAAAAGACAGAATTGTCCCGAATCTGCTTCAACTGGCCGACCGGCCACTTAGGTGGCTGACAAATTTTTCAACTGGCCGATATACTTCTAGGGTGGCCGACAGGTGTTCAGGGTTCTCCCAGTGTGTTTTCAGGTTGTTTTGAGTCCTTGGCTCTCGAGAAAGTGCGAGAAAAGTTCACTTTTCAACTTAAAATGTCTCTGCGAAAGTTTCAATTCATGTCCTCGATGCGAGACTCATCGTCAGCCAGCATGAACGAGGTGTATCCTTTTAAAACACATTGTAGCCCTTCCGAGAGGTAAATCAGAGGTTGCAACTGAATTGGTCTTATTAGGGCGCGCGTTTCTTTATTCGACATTTTGCATTGAACACGCATTGTTGTCATTATGCACGGAATACGTATGTTGTGTTGCATTGTACTCTCATGTTTGCATAAAATATACATGTTGCATTATATTGCATTGTGCATGCTCTTACATTCACAGAATATGTGCTTTTCGTTCGCATAGAACATACTGCCAGTCTTGCATAGAACATGCATTCCTATTGTATTGTACTTGTCAAAGTTTCTTTCTTGTGTAGGCACGATATTGTATGTGCGGTTCATTCAACGCTGGTGTAACCAGACGATATTGTATGTATGGTTCATTCAGAGGAACTCCAGGTAAAATCATTCCCGTCCTTTTGAACACCTTGTTTTGGTTAGAAGTGTTGGACTGTGAGCCCGACGCTTATACCAGCCTCATTTGGTTAGAAACACTCGGGTACGCCCGGTGTTTATACCATCTCGTTGGTTAGAAACATTCGGGTACGCCCGGTGTTTACACCGACATCTTGCGTTGGTTAGAAACACTCGGGTATGCCCGGTGTTTACACACTCCTTGTTTTGGTTAGAAACACTCGGGTACGCCCGGTGTTTACACCACTCCTTGTTTTGGTTAGAAACACTCAGGTACGCCGGGTGTTTATACCACCTTTTTGTTAGAAGCGTTTGGGACATGTGTCCAATGCTTATACCACCTTGCTGGTTAGAAACATTAGATTGTGTGCCCGGTGTTTATACCACCTTTTGGTTAGAAGCGTTTGGGATGTGTATCCGACGCTTATACCACCCCGTTGGTTAGAAACGTTCGGGTACGGTGTTTATACCTCTCTTGTTGGTCAGCGGCATTTGGACCATGTGCCCAACGCTTATACCCCCATTCCGGTTAGAAACATTTGAACCTTGTTTCAACGCTTATACCAATCTGTTTTGGTTAGAAACATTAGAATGTGCTCTGATGTTTATACCACCTTTCGGTGTTTGCACCGCTCTCTTTTCCTTCTCGCGTGCAGTGCGTTGGGACGCTTTGGTTAAATGCGTCTGGACGAATCCTGATGTTTATACCGCTCTTTGTTTCGATTGCATAATAGTTGGATGTGTTTCAATTGTTATTATGTGCTCTCTTTAGTTCAGAACGTTGGGGTGTGTCCCTGGGTTCACCATTTCTTTCCTCGCGTGCGCCATGCGTTAGAATCCTGTTTGCCACCTCGGGTGCGCCCGATGTTGGTGTTGTTCTTTATCCTTTTCTACGTGAGGCGCAATTAAGATTGCATAATTTTCTTACATCCTTTCTGCATTAAATATGGTTTGGTTCGTGTTAGCTTACTTATGTGCGAATTTGCTGTAGCATTTCTTTGCGTAACATTTGCATCTATATGCTTCATTACAGCTTTCATTGCATGATCATAAGTTATGTTCTGCATTGTGCATATCATTTGCATTTTGCCCCAGCCTGCAGGCGTATCTATTTTGTTATCTTGCTCGTTTGTCTGAGCCTTCGGCCTTGTCAAAAATGGGTCGTCTCTGGGCTTTGACATTCACTCCCGTCATTTCATGACTTCCGAGTTCTGTTAAAGAGGGGCAACTGTAGACAACCCATTTTTGACCGACCTCAAGACTAAGACATCATCGTTTGCACACTCGATGATTATGCATGCTTGTGCTCGTTTTGAGTGCTCGAAGTTCTCGGCGGAACGCCTTGTTTTTGAGCCTCTAAACTCTCTGTGTTTTGGCCTTGTTTTTGGGCCAGACCTTGGTGCCCCTTGCCTGGAGGGAGGAAAGGCCTTGTCGGCCACTTTTTCCACTTGTCGGCCACCTAGGGTGGTCGGTCGGCTAGGGGAGGTGGCCGGTCGGCCACCTAGAGTAGCCGAAGACCAATTTTCTCATTTTTTAGATATTTTGTGTGCCAGCTGTTAGTCACTGAATGCATGATGGAAGCAAGCCGTTGGCTTGTATTTCTATATAAGGAGAGGCTTCTCCCCCATTTGAGGGGTTAGAAAAATTCAGAGCAAATTTTCCTCTCTCTCTCTAGAATTCTCTCTCTCCCTATTTTGTACTTGAAAATGAGTTTTCTCTATACATTTGCACTAAGACCCTTAGCCAAACACCTTCACCTTGGAGCTGAGGTTCTTGAAGGTTTTGTTTGAGCTTTTCAAAGTGGTTTGAGCTTAGAAATTGTGTTGTTTGTTGCTGTGCTTCAAGGGTATTAAGCTTACCTCTTTAAAGCTTTGTTTTAGTTACTTGTTTGGCCACCTTTGCATGCTAGTTTTAGGCTAGTTTTAACTTCTAAAAACTCTATTTTTATGGTTAAAATAATGGTTTGAAGTTTGTTTTGGAGTTAGGAGTGGTCCATAATCTTTTGTGGCTTGTTTGCTAAATGTTATGCCATGTTTCAAAGCTTTCAAAAAAACCTTTTTTTGGCCTTTTAACCACTGAATTCCAGGGGAATTTCAGTGGTAAAAACTTGGTTTTGAGGTCCAAAATAGAAGGGGGTGGCCTCCCCTTCTT